GCAAGGGCCGTTGGTGAGGCACAAGCGTTCTGGCCTTTTTATGCACTCTACAGGGCGGTCATGTTAAACAAATGGTAGAATTGCTGAAAAGATTTGTTGGAAACTAGGCCTGATAGTACCACAGTGGTAGAGCTGACTTATCATTCAGCTGAACTGCCTTGATTGATTCACCTTTTGTTAACTCTACATGAGTGATTTTGGGCTCCCTCTGGAAAGACAATATACATGTATAAAGTATATCTTACATTAAAGTGATGTTGGAAGGCCTAGTACAGATTTGTTTCTGCTCTTCAGAAAATCATAATCTGCTAGCTTGTAGCTGTTGGTCCTGGTTATTTCTGGGTTATTTCTGGACATACCTTATAGCTAGGTGCCTTTGCTACTATAATCTGGCATTAAGGCTTCTTGATAAATCTTAGGCAACATGATCGCTATTTTCTTGCCACTCATCTAAGCCTGTCCAGTTAAAAAAGTCGTCCGTGGGGTTGCTGTGATTGGACGTAAGGTTCTGTTGGCTATGAAAGTATGTATTTACCAGGCATCTGTGAGTTGTTTCTGCTGGCTTCGTTAGAAGAGACTTCTCCCTTTGTCTTAGTTCTTGACTATCTACCAAACTGACACATCCATATTCTGTTTTGGGTTGCAGGTGTTGAGATTTTCAGCATTCTTGCTTACCCAGAGGTAGCATCTTTAAAAGGTAATGTACACTGTCCTGGACAGAGCCTTCTCGGTCAGTTCTTAAATACTGGACAAGTTTAAAATAAAAATGATATATTTAGTTTACTAAGTACACAAATAACAGGCTTACAACTTGGACAAAAAAGTTACAAGGGAAGAGCATGTAAAGTTATGCCCAACATCAGTTACTTTCTAGGTTAGAGATATTGTCTTTTTTTTTTCCAGTTGTAAGCATCTCTCACCGTTATTAGTATACACTTGTTACGAACCATAGTGTCAAGAGTGTTTTTTTTTTAATTGTGTCTGTATTGTGATAGCATCTAGAGAGATTCCTGTCAGAATTGAGGGTTTGTTGCAGTCTGCACGAAATGATTTGTTCTCACAAGAAAATGGCCGTTTAAAGTATTATGCTAAGTGGATGCTATTGAAGATGCCTATGTACAGTTTTTTGAAAAATATTCTCAAATTGACAGTTTTGTTTAAAGTTAGCTACTTAAGACATTTCTCTTAATTTTTTCTTTTGTAAATAATTATTTGTTGAAAAGGGATTCTGTCATGAGGCAAAAGTTCTTATTTAATAAAAACAGGTGGGAGCAGGTACTTGGCACTACAGTTTTTCACTAACTAAAACACACCCACTGAGGTGTTCAATCTACCGCCTGTGAATATGTTTAAAGATTATTTGATTAGCCCGTACACTGTAGCATAAGCACGTTTCAGGACTTGCTCTTATTCTGCCATAATAGTTCTTTTTTTTTTCCAGCTTTGGTAATTCCATTGTACTGTCACGTTTCTATCAGCACAGAGAGATCTGCATGCAGGCCTTGCAGTCCCTGTTGGACCATAATGCGATAGCAGGATCCTTAGCCTGACTTAATTGACTTTCACTTTATTCGTGATACACAAACAGAGCTGAATTGGTGCTGGGCTGTTTACAGTCTAATAGTTTAGCTGATGTTGGTCAGTATGTGTATTCTGTAGGACATGTTCCCATACAAGCATATAGTAACCTAATTCCATATTTCTGCTATTTATAAAGTAATGATTCACAAATTCTAATGTCTTTTTAAGAGGAGTGGTTGTCCATGAGTAGTTTCATTAGCAGTTTTATTCAGAGTGCAGAGTTCTACACAGAATGAGCAACAGAGGGGAAAGGTACCCACTTATTTATTGACACAGCAACCAATTGTACTTTTTCATCCTGTATTGCAAGCCCACAGTTCAATAACATGTACTGATGTTAATTAGACTGTTTACATAGCATTGAGAAAAAGCTGTTTAGAACCATCACTACTTACATGTTCAGGAGCAGTAATGTTTGCCAAAGGAATATGGGTCACCTTCTAGATAAGGGGAAAATAATACTATTTTTTTCCAAAGAGTTGATGGAGGATTTTATTTGTTTGTTTTACACACAGTTCTGAGGGAAGCAATGAGACTGAAACTTCTGGGCCTTCTGACTAGATCTTCCTGTGTTTTAGCAGAAGTATGCCGATGCCAAAGCTTTAATAAAATTGGACATCCACCATTAAAACTGAGTAATGAAGTTGATGGAACAGCCCGCAGAACAGCAGGCAAGATTTGGAACTTGTATGCTCTGAAAACTGGTACCCCTTGTTTGACAAGTCAGTGTGTCCCAGTCAAGAATTGGCAGTTGTTCCAAGGAAATGTATTGGCTTTGGGAAAAAACATATATTATCGCAATGGGGAGACTTTTTTCCCACCCTGGGAAGGTTTTGGTGCGGCGATGACGGAGGACTGCAAACTCAATAAAGAGCACATTAAAAAGCTAAAGGACGTATCGCCAAGATGTTACTCAGTTGTATCAACTGGTAAAATTATTCCAAAACCCAGCGTCCAGCCAGTTAAGAGGCCACCAAAGGCACCAAGGACCAAGCAGCCATCCAGAACTAACCAGCCACTACTGTCTGATATGCAGGTAAAGTATAAAATTTGTGGTCTGCGTAGCATTAAGGGAACTTTATTGATTTAATTTAGATTCAGATTTGGGTTTAGAAGAACATTTTAATGAAATTAATATATTTATTTGGCGAGTGGTTTTCAGTATTTACTCTAATGTGGTCACAAAGGGGATGGATCTCTGTAAACAGAAATTAACTTACTAGAAACCAATGTGTCTGGTACTTTGAAAATAAAATGGAGATTTTCTAATTGTGTAACAAAAGTGGAGGGAAGAGAACTGGTTGCTAAAACTGGAAGGCATGAAATACATTAAAAAGAGTTTGACCTAGTGGCCTTAAATCATGTTTAATATTGAGAAATAAAATCTAGTTTTCAGAATAATTTAACTTTTCCTAGGCATCCCTGCTTGTTCAGTTTTAAAAAGTTTTAAGCCTTCAGTCTGTTTTTAACAGAAATAAAGATAAAAGTAAATAGTATAAATCCTGAATATTCACATTAGGTTTTGGAAGCTCAGGCTGTGTTCCTGAGCGTGGCTCTGCTTTTTCTTCTCTTTTTTTAAACAGTCATAGCATTTCAAACCATAGAGAAACAACACTGTAGCAAAGTAAATTCTATTTTGCTGTTAATGATAAAATACATTTTATAGTAACATCTGTCTGAAGATCTGAAAGTACTGAATATTTGAAGCCTTAAAACATTTCCCAAAGGTATGAATTTATTTCTGTTCTGTCAGTGGGAAGACCGAGGCATGGATGTAGCCTGTGTTACTTGAGGAAAACTATTCTATATGTAGAAATAGTATGCTGATCTCCAGCCTCCTAGGTGTACACACTAACTTGGATAACTTTGGATAAAGTTATCCATACACTCTGGATAAAATCAGATATACAGAACAAATAAGTGGAACAGTGCACGTTTGTAGCTGTTACTCCTTAAGGTAGTTCTTTGCAGACCTTGAATACTAACCAAGGCAGTCATTAAGCATACCTTGAATATTAGATCTCCAAGAAAAATCCTGGTGTCAGAAGGAGTGTCATTGTTCTCTCCAAGTTAGTAACTACTGAGTTCCAGGGTACTGTTAGTAAAATAGTACTGTAGCTGAGACGGAGACAAGTATTGTACTTTGAGAAATAACTTCTGCATTGCAAAACGCGTACGTTACATGTTCTGCTGAATGCGAGCGCAGAAACTAAAGTTTTAATGCTTGCCTTCTAGTGATCTAAGCTCCTTTTTAATATGTTGTATGATTAACAGGAATATGCTTTAATATGAAGATTCCATTATAGACACTCTAGTTCACAATTTAATTTTCCTGTTGCTTGGAAGAGAGAAAAAGTGTAGAAGGAACTGGTTCTAAAACCCTTTATACTGTTTCAGGCTTGCTATTCGTGCTATGACGTTATATTCAGAGGCTACTTCTTTTATTTGTTGGGTGAATCAAAGTGACAATTTTGTGGACTCTTGAGGCTTGTGAACAGCACTATAGAACGCTAATAGTTTCTTGGACGCTTTCTCATACATATATATCTATAGATATAGATAGATCTAGATATACATAGATATATAAAAAATACGCACAGCTATTTGTACTTTCTTCCATTGGGAAAAAAGAGAAAACTCTGCTTGAAATACTGAAATAATAATATAGTTTCTGAGGAAGATTCCACATTGCACAGCGCTGTGCTAGAAATCACATAAACTCAGACCTAACAACAAAATTTGCTATTTTTGAACAAACCCTCTGTGCTTCTGTCTAATGGATAGCTCCACCCACAGGGATGCTGACGTGCTGTCACCTTGACTCCACAGGCTGGCAGTATATTTTGGAGGAAGATTCCCCCCCACACACCTGTTAATGCATTTCCATGTAGATACATAGTACAGAGAACTAACCTAAAGATGCGGCTGATTTCTGCAACATGACTGATACGAGTACAGCAAATGGAGAATTTTGATTTTTTTCAGCATGCTGTGTGTTTTCTCTAAATCTTGGTGTCATGAAAAAGCTGATCTTCTCTCCCTCTACGTGCTTTGAGGCAAACAAGAGCCCTTCAGTAGCATAGGCTGTGTTGTCACTGCACTTAGCTAAGAGCAGGCTGCTGTCTCCTCTTGCCTCATAGGCTGCCTTAATAGAGTAGTTTGTAACAATCTGCCA